AATTATAGCAAAGGTGTGTCTCAGTTGAACTTTTCCTTAATAAATGCACTTTAATGGTCAAATCAGCTGCATTTCGCCTGAGCGGTGGTGAAATGCAGCTGATTTGAAGTTTGTTCCAAGAGTTCCAGAGCGAGACGAAGGTGGCTTGGTATGGCAAGCCTAGTGTCTCACTAATAGCCATGTTTAACTTTTAATGAGACACTTGGCTTGCCATATTAGTCGAGGGCCCTCTGGTGGCTGAAAATGGTAGTGTTCAATAATTTCCGCGTCGGAATGAATGGAATTGTCAGATCTCAGCCAAAAATTGGGTTATATGAGGAAAACAACGTATATTAGTCGCTTCGGTGTATAAATCACAGGACTTGCAAATTTATGCAAAAAGGTGCGACTTATACAGCAAAAACTACGATACTGTTAGTCTCCCGATTCATGCTTAATAATCCAGGTAGAAAAATCTAAAAAAAAGTTACAATCCTGGCCAAAATGGTTCAAAATATCCTAATACTGTACTGTACAGTACTATACAGTACTGTTAGGGTTTGTACAAACATTTCAAACTCTGTTTTTTTGTATTTTCACTATTATCTTGTGCTTTGTGGTTGTTGTTTTTTTTAATTATTATTATTTTCTCCTCTGTGTATGTTGTTGCAAAAGGAACGCCTGTGAATCGTATTCCCATCATGGCCAAGCAGGTCCTGGATCTGTACATGCTCTACAAGCTCGTGACAGAAAAGGGCGGCCTGGTGGAGGTCATCAACAAGAAACTGTGGAGGGAGATCACCAAGGGACTCAACCTGCCTACCTCAATCACCAGTGCAGCCTTCACCCTCCGCACTCAGTCAGTACACACAAACATCTTTTAGTCTTCCCCATCTGAAATTAAGACGAAGGCTGTCGTGTTTGCATCAAAGCGGCTTGCAGCTCATTTGACGTACAGATCTGTTAACTGCTCTCGAGCCACAACTGAGACTGACACAAGTCAAGTTTTTACAACTTCAGGTAGCTTTAACTGTCAAAGCTTTAATCCTTTAATCCCTGTTCTGCTCAGTGTTTCTGCCAGTGATCGAATGTCAACAGCTGCTTTGTTTTACAAATGAACTGCCGCGTGCTGACGTGATGTCCTGCAGTTGATTCAGGTGGAAGGATGCTCCCCTTCCTAGTCAGGAAAAGATCAAATCCAAGTTTTTCCCTGCAGGAGGCTTGTCGGTGCATGGTTGAAGCGAAATGTCCCAGAAGCCCTCGCCGTTTCTTTACGATTGTTTTCGTTTCAGATACATGAAGTACCTGTACCCGTATGAATGTGACAAGAGAGGTCTGAGCAACCCCAACGAGCTTCAGGCAGCCATCGACAGTAATCGGAGGGAGGGCCGGCGACAAAGCTTTGGCAGCTCCCTCTTCACGTACTCTCCCAACGGGACCCCCACCATATTGTCTTCACCAAAGGTCCCAACGCCCAGCGTGGGCCTGACAGGGGGCACCAACGGAGCCTCGCTGACCTCCATCCACAAGATCAAGAAAGGTGGGAGTTATCCTCAGGAAAGGACTTACAGACACAAGGCTTTAGATTTTAATTATTGCAATTATTACACACAAGGTTTTTCTTAAGAAGGTCAGTTTATCTTAATATTATAGTGAAAAATTAAATAAAAAATAGCCCAAAACAATTTGCCCTGTCAAACTAATCTTGCGATCAGCATTTTGAAATAGTTCATCAGGTTATCATCACTGTTGGAGGACGGGTAACTCCAGCCTTTTTTTAATTTATTGATTAAAATGTGGTAAAGATTATACAAGATAAAAAAATGAAAAGACCATGAACTGATCAGATATATTTGATTTGTTGCATCTTATGGAGAAGGAAGAATTTGCTGGTACTTATTCCACAAAAATAAAAATAAAAACACTGCCGACGTGACCGGAGCCAGTTTTGTCTCATCACCCTGAGTCTTTGGAGCTCGTCAAAATGTATTTTGGTGAATTCCAGTCCAGGTATTTTGTGTTTTTCTGCTATAATCAGAATCAGCTTTATCGTCATTGCACCGAAGCCCAACGAAATTACATTTCAGTACAGCCCGTCCGAGTAAAACATAAACGGACATGGAGGGATGGAGGTGTCTGAGGCCGCGACCTCGTGGGAGGCGCTGCCTTTTTCGTTTAGATAGGAAAAGACAAACACGGGGGAAGGGGAGGTATAAAAAAATACAATATCATATCTCACACTGTGTCCTGAGAGTTTAAAAAAAAACCTCAGCACAGAAACGGCAACATACTGATCTGAAGTAATAAGATAATTGCTAACTGAATCACTTTTCAGCAAATAAATTACATATTTAATCTTGGAGCTGGCACTTTGGTCAGAAGAGAACACATTTTTATGTCCAAGATAAAGCAGAAGTCTGCTGGAGTTCATCTGACTTCAAGTTTCCCCATTTCTCTCTTTTTTTTTTTTTTTGCCAGAAGAGGAGGGAGGGCAGCCGCTGCCGGGGGTCGGCGTGGCTCGTCTGCCTGTGGGGCCCTTGCCGGGTCACTCGGTTGCGGCCGTGCAGGCGGCAGCGGCTCAGGCAGCGATGGCAGCTCAGGTGGCAGCTCTGGAGCAGCTGAGGGACAAATTGGAGGCTGGTGAGCCGCCGGAGAAGAAAATGGCGCTGCCTGCTGAGGAGCACCACCGGCTGCTGCAGAGAGCTCTGCAACACAACCTGCTGGCCATGACCGCCCAGATTCCCATGAACATCCGCATCAACAGTCAAGGTCAGTTCAGCAAATCTGAAACAACGCAAGATGTGAATCTTTTTTAGTGCTTTCCATCATCTCCTTAAGTCTCTTCTGCACTGTGTGTTTGGAAAGCTCTTCTTTTAATTCATGCAAGTTTGAGGAAAAGTACACTAGTTTTGCAGCAGCATCTGCGTTTGCAAACTTCTTGTTTTATTAGATGGAACAGTGTTAACCTTTGTTGCTTCAGTTCAGTTGATCTTTATAACTACTTCATTACTTATTTTCATCCGCGTGACAGCCGGGCCATAGAAGATGAAGATGAATCAGAATTAAATTCTTTGACACTTTCCTTAAAATCAACAAGACTTTTCAAGAAAAGAGAGCCGAGCCTCTAATTTTCATTTGGCTAAAATTTTGAGTCCAGAAATCTCTAAAAAATCATTCTAAATAATATCCCACTCTGTGTCTGTGCCTCGTTCAGCTTTAAACATTCGTCTTTAAAAATGTATGTTGATTATTACACAGAATAATCAGCTGAAAGACAAAAAAAAATCCCCGTTGTGTTACTAAATTACAGCTGCGGTTGGCATCTTTAACTGCGCCTTTCATTTTGTGTGATCTCTGGAATTCACGCTTCTTTCCCTCTTTGCAACAGTTACCATCTCAATACCTTCTTGTCATGTCACCACAAACCACAGCAGCCAGCAGTGAGGAAGAAACCCACTGCCGGCCTATATGTTGACCTGTTTAGCTTATAGGAGCAGCATGCATGCATACATGCAGTACATGCAAGCAGACGCTTTGATCTTATAGCACGGTTTGTCTCGGTTACTATCTGATGCAGCACGCAAACTGTTTCTCAGTAAGTGATACAGGTGACTTCAGAGAAATGTTCTTAAGGAGATTATTGAAAGAGATCTCATACAAGGTGTTTGTGCCAGGAGCTTGTGCCTTTTCTCGTGTTTGGTTTAGGAAATTTTAAGAGAGCCGTCAGTTTAGGACTTCAAAGAAACAACAACATTAAGATGATGGTGGACATGATGTTTGTAAAGGATATAATGAGTTATGTTATTGAACCGTTTACATATATATATATATATATATATATATAT